GACGTGACGAGGAAGAGGACAAAGAACCCATGGCCAGCTGGACAGACAGGCACAAGGCAAGTGGATCAACCAGACCTACAGCTTGGGCGGAACACCATAAAGACAGCAAAAGTAGTGAAACTAGTAGGTGTATATATTGACAACAGGCCGTGATGGTTTTAGAGGATACACATGTCACATAGCTTAACTTCAGGGACTTGGTGTGCATGGCCTGTGTGATATTATTCAGCTTTACTCACCCCTACATTCGAAACTCAACATTATTCAACCCTCTAAGTACCAAGAATTATTCAGCCCTCTGGGCATTCTAAAAAAACTGAGCCTTGCCACCCCAGCACCATACCACTGATAATGTACAGTGCTTTGTGGGCTAAACAGGTGTACCAAGGGCAAGCAAAAATGATCAGGGAGTAGAAATTAGAGGAGAGAGTGTACAATTATAGCTAGCATACACTTAATTTAATGGCCAAATAAGGGGATTAAACAAACAAACAAACAAACATATAATATCAGTATGAGTTGACTTAGTTGAGCACACCATTTCTGGCTTACAGTCATAAGTTAACTATTCTAAAAGACATTTATCATAATCTGTTCCCCTATTCTCCAATGCTTTTGCCTCAGCATATTTTCCAGAGGAACGACAACGATTTGCCAATGCATGTAGTAACATAGCTTCAAGACCATATGCCTGGTGCTTTAACACTGTTTCATCCAGCATCTGGGCTTCTTCATACTTCCCAAGCTTATAGTAGATTTCCGCTAGCCAAGCTGTTGCATTGAGAGTATCAGGATGTTCTGATCCAAACAAATATGTATGTTGTTCTACTACCTCCTTCTGGAGCTTCATGGCTTCAGAGGCTCTTCCCTGATTGAAGTAGTTTTTTGCTATTGTGGCACGTGCTTTTACTGTGCCCCAATGGTTTGGACCAAGCATCTTAATGCAGAGGTTCAGTATTTGTATTTGTAGCAATAGAGCCTCAGAATATCTTTCCAAAGCACAGTAGGCACCACATAGATCAGATAATCCAACCATCATGTTCATATACAAGTCAGGACTTGTCATGTTTATAGCTTTTTCAAGAATGATTTTTTGAAGTATCTGAGCATCTGCATATTGGCCTTGAGCTAGATATATAATGGCCAGAGACGACTGTAGTATTATGATTTCTGCATCATCTGCACCAAACAATTGAATCCTTTGCTTCAAAGTCCTTTCCTCTAGTTTCTGAGCCTCGGCATATCTTCCTAGTTCATATAATCCCATAGCGAGGGTATGCTGGGCTGCTAAAGTTGCAGAATGATCAGGCCCTTGCAGCTCTATATGAAGATCCAGAACTTTTTTCTCCAAATTGACAGCATCAACAGACTTGCCTACACAATGGTATGTACTGGCTAAGGAGGCTTGTATATCAATTATTGAGTAATGGTATGGACCTAGATTTGTTTCATATGTATGTAAAACTGCTTCTCTCATTTGCTGAGCATGATTATACAGTCCTGCATTCATGAATGCATCTCCAAGATGTACTTGAAACACTGAAACTGTTTTGACTCCAAGTTGAATCAGCTCCTTTGCATGATTTGCCAGTACTAATTGGTCTTCAATTTCATCACTAGTACAAGCAGCCATTCCCAGAATATTTAATACTAATTTCCGTTGGCTTGATATGTCAGTCAGAGTTTCTCTTATCCATTCATGAACCAGAGGATGTATAGAATACTTGGTCCCCTGTCTAGAAATCAAAGAGTATCTTTGTATCATTTTTATAACCTCTTCAAAACGATATGGATCCCATTCATCATTCTCATCTCTAAAATGGCAAAGGAAGGTCCAGGCAGGCTGTAAGCTGTTTGATTGGTCTTTCATGTCAGGGGAATATGCTAGCTCAGGTTTATATTTTACAGCCATCTCAAATATGTCTGCAGTAATGCCATGATAGTGTAAGAGGCAGCACACCTGCATCAGCTGCTGTGCTGGTACTGGAAGACTGTCAAAGCTAACCTTCCATGTAGTATACACTGTAGCTTGACTGTCCCATGAAGTTTGCCCAAATCTCTTTGTCCAGTGCTTTAATCTATTTTTCTCATAAAGATTCAAATAGTCCAAAGGCTTGTTCTGAAGAATATGAGACTGCTGGATGAATGCTGCTGCCTGGGCAATTGCCAATGGAAACCAGTATAGTCTCTAGTATATAGTTTTAAATACCACAAATATGATATATCATGTTACTTACTTCACAAATTTTTTCTGCAGCTGCTGTATCATGGATTTGTGCAATGTTGATAAATGCTTGAACACCATCATCTACACTAAATTGACCAATCGGAATTGACATTTGTGCATGGATACGCAGTTCTGGATTGCGGGAAGTAATGAGAATATTCCCATGGTTACACTTGGGAAAGTGGTCTCTTAGATTGATTTCTACATTGTCTGCATTGTCAAAAAGGATAAGCCATTCATCTGTGTTTCCAATAAGCCAAAACTGTGCAGCAGTCCTTGAAACTTCGAGGTGTTGTATCCGAGCAATGTCCAGAAAGCCTGTCTGTATTGTATTCTCATCTGTTGCATCAATTCGAAATTGGTATTTAAATCTTCCCATGATGTTTAATTCAACAAATAGTTTTAGTAGATCAATTATCTGCTTACCTGTTTTTTTGCATGGAAATAAATTTCAGAGCTATCTCTGTCTTGCCAGAGCCGCCCAAGCCATGCAGCAAAACCACACGACGATGTTGCTGACTACTTGCACCAAAAAATTCTGTCAATTGGTATAATGTCAGGTCACGCCCTGTGAAAAATTGACATGGTGGAGGGCATCCATGATAATTCGATGGGCTTGCCGCCTGACTAGTAACATTACAATGGGAAGTCAGTATTTTAGCTGCTCCCAGAACTATAACTCTTCCTACCTTTGAATTGCAACAGAATGTGTCGTGATTGTGATTGGCATCATTGGACCTTGCCCAAGCCCACCATTTCCTCCTATCACTCCTCCGAGGCCACCTCCTCCCCCTCTACCTCCTAGAATATAGAGTATGGCTTGAGCTCATTGAGATTAGACCAGATGCCCTGACATACCATGCATATGGACAGTCATATTGTGAGCTCTTGGGCTAGCGCTTGGGATAGCATTTGCATACGTTGACTGGGGGCCAGAGTTCATCTTTCCTCACTTCTGTGGAGGTAAGAGAAGTGAGACATAGGCCGATGTAGACCTTGTTATTTAACTGGAACATGAGGCAATGCTTCGATACTACATGTGCATCACTCGTGGCAGGGCTTGTAGTAGTGCTCGTGGATTTCCTGGCCATGCCTGCCAACATCAAGTTCTTGCTGCCACGGGTCTTATAGCCTGAGTGGTTGCTAATCGTGTGCCAGTACTAAATCAATGAGCTTTTAAGACAAGTTCGGCTGTGGCCTCCAACCAAGCCTTCAACACGCCGATTCTTGGCTGACTCGGATTCGGCTCCTTGTTCAGCTCGGCGAACTCAGGTTCGCAACTCGAAGGACTGGGACAGTGGGACTCGAGCCTGCCTCCGAGTCTGTACTCGTGGAGATGCTCTGAGTGTGTACATGGCCGCATGGTGCCGTGGTAGAACGGTGGTACTTGAGCTTTTTATTGGTTACCGGCGGCCCGGACGCCGGGTCTGAAACCACGTGTGCAGAACTTTCCTTCTAATTGGCTCACCATTTTTGCTGCCCACTACAACGGTTGATGCCTGGGCCAACTTGGAAACAACAACAGAGGACATCTGGCAGTGTTGCAATGCGTCAAGAAACTCATCTCGTCCATGATTACCACGCTCACTGGCACGTTCAGCGGGGTCCGCCAAGGGAAACTGGGCATGTGGCCGGCGCTTGTGCTACCCTTCTCGTAAATTTCCCAGGAGGCTCGCAGCCTGAGGAGGAGCCATAAAGTCTTAACCACACAGGCAAGTTGCAACAGTTCTACATGCTGCCTATCTGACGTTTCCTCCAGATATTCGACTGCGCTAGAATGCCCAACTTTCTCTGGTCGCGGGTTCGAAGGACTGCAACTTTTCAGATTACAGCACTGTATCCAACAAGAGGTATACCAACTTACTTGACTGACTCTCGCTTCCAATTGCAAATATAGTGTCGACCCTACCCCCCACAATACGCTTCGCGAGATCTGGCCGCAAGGCAGACTCTGTGGTGGGTCGAAGGATGAGAGGAGTTAAAAGTTTTGAGGTACGATTCTGACAAGGCTCGAAGGAGATCTCGCAGTATAGTATCTAGTCGAAGCCGAATCGAGTTCGTATAGGATCGCCGATTCCCTGTCATTTTCCAGAATAGATAAATAGTTCGTCAAAAAGCCTCACTGAATACGACGCACCTTGAACCAGTTCGTTGCTTCTCCTTCGTTTTCATTTGCGCTCCCATGTAGACGTATGTAGACCGGAGTGGCTCCTTGGTGGCGTTCATGAGCTTAGCCTTCAGTTGCATACTACGATCCTCTTGGTATGACCTTCAAGTTTGCATCGCTGAAGGACGAGCAGAGTCGGTGCCGGTGGCGGTCGTGACTGAATCCAAGTTGCGGGGAAATGGCCACGCTCATGATTGAAGACCGCGAAAAAAAATGTCCGGGCTGAGGCCTCTCTGTCTGTGATGATTCAGGTCAGACTGAGGTATTCAGGAAGTCTGACTGGATGGGACGCACTTTGAACCGATGGCAAAGCCTCTTCGAGTCTTCATTGTCGATTCCATTTCCAGCCTAGGGTATGTCACTGGGCAGGAAAGTCCTGAGCGGCTGTTAAAAGCCTACTGTAGGTTAAGTGGCGCTACCGGAAGAGTGCAAGAGTATCTCTGACGACTTCTTTGGGGTGGTACTGGCTCAGTAGTAGTGGCTCGGGCGAAAGAGAGGCACAGTCGTCACTCTGTGACGGATTGGCGCAACTTTCGCTCTTGACTTCTACGGACATTCATTTTGGTCAACACGGCTCTGTCTGACTAGCTGATACCGCTGCTGTCAATGCCCGAGTCACGACTGCCATTCGAGCTTGAAAGAGAGATTTTCGAAACTGCTGCATTACTTTATCGTCGGTGCATTCCTCGCCTGCTGCGGGTCGCTCGCCGTGTCCTTGTCTGGTAATCCTCCATGAGAGCTCGAGACTTCGACTCACGACTCTACAGGATAGAGCCTTTCCTATACCACAGTTTAAAGATAGGAACGCGCCAGCTTCCGAATAGTATGCCGGTCCCAGTTTTGGGTGGCTACCTCGACTCTCCGTCACAGTGTCTGCGCGCAGCCTTGGAGAAGACGGACGAGTTCCTCCAGCACGCGGTCCGGCATCTTGTCATAGGCTCGCGGTATCCACAGCAACTTTCCCAAATGACGAGCGCCAGCAGAAATAAGCTAGCAAATATGACCGGCGTCGCCTTCCTCGCCATTGCGGCTGCATCACCCGCCGGCGACCACAGCGCACAGATACTCCCGCTCATTTCGAAGATGTCCGTTCTGCGCCTCGCCTGCTCCCTGGACGATGTCGTTCACCGTTCCATGCTGGGGAATAGTGATCCTCAGACAATCGCCGCCCTCCCCATTTTCCGCCGCCTCACCCATTTCGATGTTTTCGACAACGACGGCACACGCACCGCCGCGCTCTTTGCTGTCCTCACACAACTCCCCGCGCTGACCCATCTCGCAATATCAGGCGCGCATGTCGACGAGGACGATCCCGATCGCATGAAAGTGATTCGGGAGTTTCTTGCAATGTGCCCGAGACTGCGGGTCTTAGCGTGCCCCCTTGCGGCAGGGCTACTCGACTCTGCTGAGCCGAATGCGGGCATAAGCTACACTTTTGACATCCGTTTTGTGGTGTGTGGCTACGTGGAATCGGACGAGGGTGTTGCTGTTGATACGGAAACCTTTTGGGACAGGGCGGAGGCGCTTGTCGCCGCTCGAAGATCTGCATTGGCAACAGCCTCAAAGCAGACGGACATGGAGATCGTTTGAAGGGCGCGACTTGCGTTGATTCGATTTACCAGTATGCATTCTGGATTCAATCAGACCATTTTTCGATGCTATTTTTGCCACAGATAAGCCCTGCTGCCGACTGTCTCCCATGCCATACGTCATCGAAATCTTTCGCTCCGTCTTCTAGTGTTCTCCAGCTCCCGATGACCACAGACCTTGCGCAAGCCGTTGACTCGCTCATCAAGGAGCGCTACTCTGCGCGATACTTCCTCCCTAGACCAATCGACAAGCAGATCGTCGAGACCGTCATCGATGCTGCGCGATACGCCCCGTCGGGGGGTGAACATGCAGTTTCGTGCCTCGTTCCATTAAGTTCACGATTGACTTGAACTATAGACCCTGGACCGTCCATTGCATTGCCGGCGAAGTCAAGGCCAAGCTCTCCGCCGACATGCTGAACGAGCATTTGGCAGGGACGCCCTCGTCTGCCCGGTACTCATACTTCCCGCCCGTCCTCCCGGTCGAGCATGCGGAGCGGCGCGCTGCATTTGGGCGGCTGTTCTACGGAAAACAGGGCATCGCGTATGACGACACTGTGGGGAGAGCCCAGTCGGATGCGCGCAACTAGTATGTGATCAATCACGTTGGTCTGCACTGGCTTCGACGTTCACAAGTGAATTCTTCGATGCGCCGTTGGGATTCATCTTCACACTACATCAGGCGCTGGAGGTCGGCTCGTGGCTGGACCTAGGGCGAGTCCCTGCTTTTTTTGTGTCATCCCTCCACTGACTACTACTCCCGGGCTTCAGACATTTTATGCAGAGCATATCAATTGCTTTTCGGGCACGCGAGATCGAGTCTATCGCGCAGGTGACTTCCATCATGATAACTTCCACCAATCTTTAGAAGTTGAATCAAGGCGCATAGCTCAGCATTCCAAAGTACGACGCCGTTATCCGCCGCCATTTGCGCATCCCCGACGACGAGCTCGTCGCCTGCGGCATGTCCGCCGGGTACCCCGATCGAGAACGCGTTGCGCAGAACTATGTCCGGCCACCGCGGAGAGCGTTGAGCGAGGTCTTGCATATTCACGGGATGTAGTATCTGCTGTACGCGTTGGAGTAGTGCGGTGTACCCCAGCAATTTAATGTGGTGGGCAGATCATAGATGAAGGTTAGGTGTCGATAAGCCGTCAGAAGTTTTCACCGGAGAGCACAAGCATCCGCAACCAATGGATTTGGGGTCCTTAGGCACTCTTGTCAACCTATCAGTGGAAGTCAAATGAAGAAGGCTGCTTGTGACATCATCATGTGATGCCGTGACTCGGACATCAAACTTTCAACCAACTCTCACCAGCATCTCTCAGTCCATAGTTACAGCAACTGTGTCGGGGCGACCTATTATCCAAGAACAGCGTTCCCAGCTTCCTGACTTATGGACGCGCGACTCCCACCCGAACTCGAGAGGGAAATTTTCGAGACGACTGCGCACCTAATCTGCCCACTGATCTCCTCTAATTAGAGAGGGAAGGGGGGGGGGGGTCTAGCCTCTAACTAGAGGGGTTTATTGCGATTGCCTATGATTCCTTAGAATTCCTTATAGATGTTAGTGGACAACGGTGTTTTAGAGGTGAGTTAGTGGACTGTAGGCTCATTGAGCATTGGGGAGCGTGACTGATGACAGGATGTGATCGTTGTCTGACACGCGTCGGTCACCGTCGTCCATAGTCGCATCACATCCCATCAAATGGTTGATTATTGCTGACCTCGATGTGCCCGCTTGTGCCGCTCACTGTCCCGCCATGATGGCGCATCAAAAAACGAAAGTTGCTCTGTTTGCCTTGAAATTCACATGGGTAGAAGTGCCAGGTCAATAGGTGCCATGGTTGTTGAGATATAGGCAGTTTGATTTGGTGATGAGACATTTGTCCACTAACTTACAACCCCAGGAAGTGGGTAACCACTTGCATTTAACTGAACAGGAGCATTATGTGCATGAGCTGTAACAGATATTATATATGAATTATGTTATGACACCTCCCTCTTCCCTCTCTAATTAGAGGAGATCAGTGGGCAGATTAGGTGCACCCTGCTGACGATCTGTAGGAGGGGAGTTGGGCTACATGGTTCATGTGGTATGTTGTGTCTTACTGTACTGCAGTATCCCAACTGAGTAGATGTCCACTAACTTCCCTAGGCTGGAAGTTAGTGGACATCACCCATATACAACATCATCAGTGTGACTGATATACCCTCTTATATGCTTCAGACGGTATCTACGGTGGAGTATTGGCAGGTACCATCCCTCATCATACTGTGGTATCCCAACTGAGGAGATGTCCACTAACTTCCCTAGGCTGGGAGTTAGTGGACATCACCCAATATACAACATCATCGTTGTGACTGATATACCCTCTTATATGCTTCAGACGGTATCTACGGTAAGGTATTGGCAGGTACTGTGTCTTACCGTAATGCAGTATCCCAACTAAGTCGATGTCCACTAACTTCCCCTGGCTGGAAGTTAGTGGACACCACCCAATATACAACATCATCAGTGTGGCCAGTATACCCTCTTATATGCTTCATATGGTATCTACGGTGAAGTATTGACAGGTATCATCCCTCACCATACTGTGGTATCCCAACTGAGGAGATGTCCACTAACTTCCCTAGGCTGGGAGTTAGTGGACATCACCAATATACAACATCATCAGTGTGGCCAGTATACCCTCTTATATGCTTCATATGGTATCTACGGTGAAGTATTGACAGGTATCATCCCTCACCATACTGTGGTATCCCAACTGAGGAGATGTCCACTAACTTCCTTAGGCTGGGAGTTAGTGGACATCACTCAATATACAACATCATCACTGTGGCCAGTATACCCTTTTATATGCTTCATATGGCATGTACGGTGAAGCATTGACAGGTATCATCCCTCACCATACTGTGGTATCCCAACTGAGGAGATGTCCACTAACTTCCCTAGGCTGGAAGTTAGTGGACATCACCCCATATACAACATCATTAGTGTGGCCAGTATACCCTCTTATATGCTTCAGACGGTATCTACGGTGAAGTATTGACAGGTACTGTGTCTTACTGTAATGCAGTATCCCAACTAAGTCGATGTCCACTAACTTCCCTAGGCTGGGAGTTAGTGGACATCACCCAATATACAACATCATCAGTGTGGCCAGTATACCCTCTTATATGCTTCATATGGTATCTACGGTGAAGTATTGACAGGTATCATCCCTCACCATACTGTGGTATCCCAACTGAGGAGATGTCCACTAACTTCCCTAGGCTGGGAGTTAGTGGACATCACCTCTATTCAATACTGTCAGTGTGGCCAGTATACCCTTTTATATGCTTCATATGGTATCTACGGTGAAGTATTGACAGGTACTGTGTCTTACCGTAATGCAGTATCCCAACTAAGTCGATGTCCACTAACTTCCCGAGGCTGCGAGTTAGTGGACATCACCCCATATACAACATCATTAGTGTGGCCAGTATACCCTCTTATATGCTTCAGACGGTATCTACGGTGAAGTATTGGCAGGTACTGTGTCTTACCGTAATGCAGTATCCCAACTAAGTCGATGTCCACTAACTTCCCGAGGCTGGAAGTTAGTGGACATCACCAATATACAACATCATCAGTGTGGCCAGTATACCCTCTTATATGCTTCATATGGTATCTACGGTGAAGTATTGACAGGTATCATCCCTCACCATACTGTGGTATCCCAACTGAGGAGATGTCCACTAACTTCCCTAGGCTGGGAGTTAGTGGACATCACTCAATATACAACATCATCAGTGTGGCCAGTATACCCTCTTATATGCTTCATATGGTATCTACGGTGAAGTATTGACAGGTATCATCCCTCACCCTACTGTGGTATCCCAACTTAGGAGATGTCCACTAACTTCCCTAGGCTGGGAGTTAGTGGACATCACCCAATATACAACATCATCAGTGTGACTGATATACTCTCTTATATGATTCCGACGGTATCTACGGTGAAGCATTGGCAGGTACTGTGTCTTACCGTAATGCAGTATCCCAACTAAGTCGATGTCCACTAACTTCCCTAGGCTGGGAGTTAGTGGACATCACCCAATATACAACATCATCAGTGTGACTGATATACTCTCTTATATGATTCAGACGGTATCTACGGTGAAGCATTGGCAGGTACCATCCGTCATCATACTGTGGTATCCCAACTAAGCAGATGTCCACTAACTTCCCTAGGCTGGGAGTTAGTGGACATCACCCAATATACAACATCATCAGTGTGACTGATATACTCTCTTATATGATTCAGACGGTATCTACGGTGAAGCATTGGCAGGTACCATCCCTCATCATACTGTGGTATCCCAACTAAGCAGATGTCCACTAACTTCCCTAGGCTGGGAGTTAGTGGACATCACCCAATATACAACATCATTAGTGTGGCCAGTATACCCTCCTATATACTTCATATGGCATGTACGGGGAGGTATTAGCAGGTACTGTGTCTTACCATACTGCAGTATCCCAACTGAGGCAATGTCCACTAACTCAGGTGCTGGAAGTTAGTGGACATTCACTCAGTTGCCGCCTTCCACAGTCTCTGAAGTTAGTGGACATCCCACTGCCATGTTAGTGCACATTATTCAGAACTATCTGCCAACAACTCTGCCAATGTTTCTTCTCTCCTTCTCAAAGCCTCCTGAGTTGGCTGACGACGTCTTCTAGTCACTGCAACACTTTCCTCCTCCTCATCACTCTCCCACTCTCTCTTTAACCCCACCTTCCTTGCACTGACTAGTGTCTCTTCCACCCCTTCTCCAAAATTCATCACTGACATCTTTGGGGAATCCAAACCCCCCATTTTTCCCCTGGGCATCGACCCAGCCTGCCCTCCATCGCCTCCTGAGTGTTGCTCTAATTCAACTGGCTTTGATACCTTGTCAGTTGAAGCCTCCTTCGGTTTGAAGTTTGGCTTGGGCCGAGGACGCGCTGGTTGGTCTACTCCGGTTGAGATGGATTCATCTGACTTGGCCTTTTTCTTGGTGATCTTCTCCTCCTTGTTTCTTTTCTTTAATGCCCGGCCAGCTGCC